CTTCAGTGCATGCACCCTTTTCCCTGAGCTGGCCCTTCTCAGTTCCCACTGTGGCCGGTGCTGTGGACCTCTCAGCCCCTTGGTAGGTGGGGCCAACCTGGACAGTTAGGCATGATTTGCTCCATGTTATTCATGGTTTGCCCAGGCTGGACAGAACAGCACCTCAGGGTAGACATTCTTTGTTTATCTGCTGCAGGGAGAATGGCTTTGGGCAAGTGAAGGCTTTTCGGAATGCTGGGCAAGAAGGGCAAAGTTGAGATGGGAGACAGTGTGGGTTCAGGAGCGGCCCTCTCTCCAAAGGCTACCTTTATTTTCCTGGCAGCGCAAGTCAGAACTGGCGCTCTGGCCTCTTCATCCCTGCTGTATCCACCAGGCCATTTTCTAGGCCAATACATGCTTGGGAAAAGCAGATAAGGTTAGGAGCAAAAGAGGCAAAAACAGAGGTCCATATAGGGTCACCTGTCCCGAGAGCCACTTGGAGGGTGAGCCACTTACAATCCGGAGTCAGCAGGCTGGGGACCACTTAAGGGCATTTAGTATCATCAAGTAGAATGTAAACAAAAATTCTACAAGCAAAAGGTGAAAAAAAATCTATAAATTCAGTTTTTTTCCTATCTGAGTAAAGAGTCCAAACAGTTCAATTTTTAAATTTTAATTTTACGGGCCAGGGATGTGGCTCAGTGGCACCACACCTGCCTGGCAAACACAAGGTCCTGAGTTTCATTCCTAGTAACCCCAAAACCTTTTTTAATTTTCCCATGTTCCCTCTATTTTATGTTTCAAAATTATGAAACACTGAAATATGTAAATATATGCAGCCTAACAGCCAAAGCAATATCAAGAGTTAATAGAACTCTATTCTCAACAATAGCCCCAAAAGAGCCTTTTAGCTTCCTTTCAGCACCATCAGCTTCTCCTCCCCAGCCCCTCTACGATGGACCAAAACTTTGCAAAAAGATTTTCCATGCACTGTTGTCCTTTTCTGAAAGCCCAATATTGGGATGTTGCCCTGAACTTCTTTCAAATCTCTGCCTTACCGTGGTGTCATAGCTGAATTTTCAACCTGAACCTGAGTTGCATGAAGTTAAAAGGGGGGGTGTGATAGCACTTCCTGTTATTATTAGATTCCTAACACTCCTCTTTCGCCATTTCCTCACAATTTGCTGAAGAAAAGATCAAAGGTTAGGGAAATGTTAATAACCCTGATTTGCACATTATACAATGTATAGATATACTGAATCTTCACATTATACCCCATAAATATGTACATTATATGCCAATTAAAAAAAACAAAAAAACAAAAAACAAAGAACTTCGAGGCCCAGCTTAACCATCCTAGCCTACACTAAAGCATCAGCGACTTAACATTTGTATTTTTGTTTTTTGTAGTACCTGGGATTAAACCCAGTGCCTTCACACTAAGCTACATCTTGTCATTTATTATCTTTTTTTCAGGCTAGGTCTCCATTCAAAAACAAACAAAAAACTGCAATAGTCCTAATAACTAAGCTATTCCTCCCTAGGTATAATGTGAGTGGGTAGTTAGTGCGGGTGGCTGAGGTGGAGTTTTCAGTTCTGTTGAGGTAGATTCCAAGACTTTTTGCCCAAAGCTGGCTTGACATTTACAATTGACACAAATACTGGTTTTACAAGTTGCGTTTTTGTTTGGTACCAGGAATAGAACTCAGGGCCTCACACTTGCCACGTAGGCACTTCACTGCTGAGCTACATTCCCAGCCTAAGTTGGTTTTAAAAGTTCAGTTAAAAAATATGAAATCCCAGCAAGCCTTGGCCCTGAGTGTCCAGAGACCCTCACTTCAAAAGCTTTCACCTCTTCTTCTCAGGTCCTCACACACATAGTTAACATAAATGAGGATTTCCTGTGTGCTCAGCAGCCCTCCAAAATTTATAGAGTACTATCTTCTCTTTTGGGTGGACTCTCAAACTAAACTCTTCCTTGGATAGATAAATGGGGTGAAACCAAAGATGGCTCCACCTAGTGTCCCGAGGGCTAGAAAAATTAGTATTCACACCAAAGAAAACCAAATTTCATTTTGCTTCTTTTATTTACAAGTTTTAAATATCTCTAACAGTTAGAAAATTGGTATCAATTATGAACACTGGTGTACAGTTTAAAACACAAATGCCAGTAATTATTAAAGAACATGGTTAATAATTATTCCAAGAAAACGCTTGATAAGTATTTTCCAGAAGGCAAGTTAGACAGCAGGTGCCCAAGAAGGCAAGGACAGAGCCCCGTCAGCCCAGGGTCAGTTATACAGCAGCCCCAACATGCGTTCCCCTCAGGTCATGCACGTGGAAGCTTGCATCACTAGCTCTGACACCAGCCTGGATCTCCAGCTCCAAAGGTACCCAGTGCATTCATTTTGTTCCACAAGTGTAACACTTCACAGACAAATGAACCACTTTATGAAGTGAGGATGGCTCAGTTCCAGGATATTCTGCTTAACCTGGGAATCAAGGCTTTCCCAGAGCTGTCAAAAGAAAATAGGTCTGATGGACAAGAGTTAAGCCAGACTCATTCTAAACAATTATTTTGGGTTTTTTTTTTCTTTTTGCGGGGAGTGCTTCACATACTTACACTCTTCTTTAACTAGTTCTCAAGCTGTTTATATTTATTTATGTGTAAAAGATGCCAACTCAATTATGTCCCAACCGCAATTTACCCAGTATACCTAATACTAGAGATCTTTTAGGTACTAGGAGAAATGCTTATATATTAAGATACTTCAAACTTACATTTTAATTATAATAAATTAGCTTTTATGTTACAAACAACATCTCAGAAAGGCAAGTCTTAGTAATTTGACCTAGTATATTTGAAATTAGAATACCATCTGGAATACCAGAGCTGTATTATTTATATATATATAAAATATCTAAATTATGCCAATATTATCAGTTTCTTACCTAAAATCATAAATACATAATTTTAAGCTCCAAAGCACACTTCAAAAGTTATTATTATACAATATTAAACGGTCAATCTCCTTTTTAAAATTCATTTAAGTAGTCTCAAAATTGAACCCTCTATAAAAGTAATGATGAGTGCCTTGGAAGATCTGATAAGAAGCACTAACCTTCTTTCCAACTGCAATGTCCCAAGCAGTAGCCCATGTATGCTTCAGGAAGGCCACTGAGAAAGAACCATGGTCAGCGAGAAAGACAGACGGGGTTAAACCAGAAAGCAATGCTACCTGGAGCACTCATGGGAAGAGCTAGGAGGTTTTACAGGGAAAAAAAGCATCCAACAAACAAGGCTTTCTTCTCTCTCAATATACCAACAACAAAGCAGGAAATCTATTAGGCAGAGAAAAACCAGATGTGCTTGCAGACATGAGTGGGAGGTCTGTTCTCTCAGCTGCTGCACAAGTTACTGAATTGCATACATTTGTGACCCATGCCAGGCTCCAAAGGTACTCCGGGGTTTAACTGGCATGAAAAGCAAAAGGACAGGAAATGTCAGTCAAGTAGAGTCCTCATTTTCATCGGCTAACCTTTATACTAAACCATTAAAAGAATGGTAGTAATTCACAGTCTGAGTTAAAGTCTAAGAGATCAGAAGGAATAGCAATGGTTTCAGAAAAAATGGGCCAGGGTTTATTTATATACCCAAGGGTTGTTTTGTTTTGTTGAGACAGGTCTTGCTACGCAGCTCAGGCTGGTCTCAAACTTGAGATACACCTGCCTCAGCCTCAATCTGAGTGCTGGGATTACAGGCTGGTGCGGCTACACCCTTCTCCAAGAGAAACTTCTTAAATGAAGCCACATCACTAAACAGGTAAACTGGAAAATGTACAGAGAAACATCCCCAAAATAGACATCCCAACTTTTGACTGAATTTCATCTGGGACAGACAAAAATAAGGAAGCCAAACCTAGTTATTTGCTTTTTCTTTCCAATGGATGGTATGAGGGGGTGACAGGAGAGAGATCAACTAATGTTCAATTATACTGAAGAATCTGCTTGATTTGGCACAGAAAACTAAATCTGTGTGTTCAGGGACTGTATCTGTGTTTCCATTTAGGGACACATATCCTGTTGTTCAAATGCCATAGCCAGTTATGAGAAAAGAAAATTCATCCCCCAAAAAGGATCCATGTGGGTTAATTTTTAAGTAAATACAAAGACTTTACAAACCATGGAAACCATTACAAGCTACATATTTATTTTTGCCTCAACTCCTATACTAAATATGGTCTAATTCCTAAGGAGTAGCAACAGCAATTTATCAGTCTTGGGCAGGTGTCCATCTGATAAGCCTCAATCCTCCCACCTCCCCACTGCCTCTCAGGATGCAAACAGAACCTTGGCTACTGGCTGTTCTCCTTAGACCCTTCAAGTTTTCACATCTCTTAAGTTTGAGCTGAATTTTAAATCCACAAACCACTGAAGAAGACTGTCTTGCCTAAATGTCCATCATAACCACCACATATGATCACACTGTCCCCTTTTCTGTAACCATTTGAAGAGAGTAGGTAAAGTACTCAGATACTAGTTAGTACTGCATGGTTAGCAGCTGCAAGGTAAGGATGGACAGCATAGCAGAGGTAGGATTACGTTAGAAGGAAATCACAAAGAATGTTTAAGAGATATAATCAGAAAGGATAAAAAACGATGAATAACCCTCTAGGGGCTAAGGCGGAGTGGGGTGGGGCATTTTACTAATGTACAAGAAAGACCAGGAGTTAAGAATTAGACATAAATTTACTCCTAGTATGGCTCAAAGTTTTATGGGTGGAATTCAGTGGAGGGGGCCAAATGTTGCATAAGTAAATTCAGCTGGTCCAGGGACATGGCCCTTCTCACCCTCAGCTGAAAAACATCTTGTCCCAAACATGCTTACAGGAGGCCTGTTTGCAAATTTGAGAATTCAAGCTTTTTGTTTTGCTTTTGTAAGGCTGGGGATTAAACTCGGTATTTACACAGGCTAGGAAGAAAAGCCCTCTATCACTGAGTTACATCTCCAGCCCAAGGATTCAGGCTTTTGCTTTTGTTTTTATTCCAGTTATTTATTTTTTAAGGATTCAGTTTTTAAATGAACTAAAAGATCTAGAATGCAGTATTACAGAATAGTCCAAAAAATTTAAAATGTTGCATAGAAAAGTGTTCTGTAATATGCTCTCTAAACCTAGGCCTTAGTAATTAACAAAACAAAACTTCATTATCTAGAAGTGCATGATTATGAATTCAGATCAAATTTGCAGATTCTTGCAGCTGGACCTCAGAAGATCCTGAAGTTCTTTATTCTTAGGATCATGATTAAATGTACCTTTTAAAAGCTCCAGATGACACAGTTCAATTTTCTTTATAAAGGGCTTAGGCTACAAGAACCCAAGCCAATTCTATGAACTTTTTTTTTTCCTCCCCTCTGCCCTGAACAGTTGACCAGTACACACAGGGGCAAAAAGTCACTGTTACAGCTTTTAAACCTAGGCTGTTTTGTTTCCTTCTCCTGTTAGTCAATTTTTCAGCAAGCTGTCTATCTGCCTGTCCTTTTAACAGCCAGGCTTGAATAGCTCACTCCTAATCTACCTTATAAGATGCATCAATTGACTGTGAGTTAAAATACACTACAGTGACAGTAATATCATCCCTGTACATCCTTGCCAAGTCCTCTGGCAATGTCAGCATTGCTGCCAGCCGCTCTGGCTCCATTTCCCCATATTCGTTGCTTCCAATGGCATGTCTGATCAGATGTGTGGCTGCATTTTGGTCAGCTGCGTGGAGGCCACTGGCTTTCCTCTGCAGCAGCAGACTCTGCATGAGGCCCAGGTTTGTAGGTCTTGGGGTCAGGTCTGGCTTGTGGCGACCCGCCTCAGACAGGTACCCCACTACCAGCCTCACCACATCTTCATTCCCTAACATGTCCCACAGGCCATCTGAGGCCAGCACAAGGAACTTATCCTGGGGCCTCAGCCTGTGGTATGTAACCTCAGGCTTGGCAGTTAGGTAGGGTGGTGTATAGTAGTGTGAGGGGGTGAACTGATAAATGTTGAGGGCCTCAGTATCAAAGCCCCTTTCTAGGACATTGCGCTGCAGCTCTTTACTCCACTTCAGCTGGACATCTCCAAAGGCCCTGCAGGGCATAAGGACACCCAGCAGCCTGTCATCCATGATGATTGTCCTGTTCTCTGACTCAGGGTGCTCCCTCTTAAGCCGAGAGAGCTCAGCTTCATTCCAGGCATTGTGGTCACGGGTGAGAGGTAGACAAGACCACATGCCATTGTCCTCTTGGACACCAAGGATGGCCCGGCAGTCACCAGCATTTGCCACATGCAAGTGAACTCCACTGATGTGAGCCATGCAAGCTGTTGCCCCAGAAAAAGCAACCTGGAGTGACAGATTCTTTGTTACCTCATCTTCCAAGGGAGCTTGGACTTCCAGTGAGATGTCAGAATCCAGTCTCTGGAAGGAGTACATCAGTGCTTCCTCAATACTCAGACCCATTTCCATGTGCAGGTCAAGCAATTCCTGCCAATAGACACGCAGGTGGTCAAGATGCACTGATGTGACATCCTTGTAGATACTGTCCCCTGGGTGCTTGAGCCACTGCAGGATAGGCAACAAGGGCTTCATGTTTTCCATTGCTCCCTCCATCTGCTCCAAGGTCTGGTGGGACATCAGGGACACTGCCACATAGTAGAAGAGCCTCTCACTCACTGCTTGTGCACATGCATGACCACCATGTCCATCAAAGATGCCAAACATCAGCCCGCTGGTCTGCAGGCAGGAGGCTACTCCTCGACGGTCTTCCACTGGGGAATTTGCAGCCAACTGGTTGCTTTCAAACTGCAACACAGAACGCGGGACTTTGCTGTCTAAATCAAGAATCTTGTAGGTTGATTCACCAGCTCGAAGCACTGCATTTACCTGCTCAGGGCTGAGTTGCAGGTGGAAATCCTCTTCCTCTGTTGATGTGTGTCTGTAGGCTTTCTGCAGAGTGAAGGCACCACATAGTGAACTGTTTCGTAAGGTAGGTGATGCCCAGGAAAAGAGCCTCCATTTGGATTGATTCCTTTTTGAGACACACCTTGAGTATAAGTGTCTGCCACCTTGTAATGTGGTAACGCAACTTCTTGCAGAAGTTAAGATCCAGTAGGACACAGTACTTGACATTCTGAGACTATGCCAGCAAATGAGGATTTGTTAAACCTGAAAATTGAAGAGTTTTAAAAAGTTTCAAAATTTAAATTTCTTAAAAATACTGATTTCTGAAACATTTGCTAATATCCAGAACAAAAGTGATTTAAACAATTTAAAAGAATTGAGTAAACTTAAAATACTATGTAAATAACCTTATTCACTATTTCACATAAACACATTCCAGAAATTTTGGAAAACAAAAATGTGTATATGCTTGGCTCGTACAGAATCACTGAAGGCCCTATATGTTTCTTCTAGCTGACCCAGGGCCCAGGATGGCATTTTTCTCTTTCCCAAATCCTTTCTCTTATGACAGCCTAATACCTACCTCCCACGTTCACAATCTCTCCAGCAGACTACAAGTGTTCAGCTGCTTTCCCAACAGTGCACAAGCTTCGTGAAAATGGGAACTGTAGCTTCCTTGCCAACAACTCTCCAATGTCCAGCCCTGTACCTGGCAAAATTAGCTAAATGTGCCATTTTCAGAAGTCTAGTACCACACTAGGTGCAACACTAGCTGACTACCGTGTACACTGTATGTACATGTATACAATGCACATATACTTCACCAGTCTGATCTCCAGCTATGCATTGATGGGATGGGAATAATATCAGTCTTATAAGGTTTTGTAAGAATTTCATAAAATATGATCTTTCTGATTAAAAAAAGTATATTCCTCCATTCTGTACATATTTTTATATTGTACTTACAACTTTGAATCTGGTTTTGCTGTTAAGAACTTTTTGGGGGGATAAATACATTTATAAGATACATAATATACCATTTCTGCATAAACAATCTCAATTTACTTATCTGTCCTCTACTTCTGGGGATTTAAAGGTTCTTTCCCCTTACCAGCTCTTTATAAAACACCACACTCCAGCCGGGCGTGGTGGCACACGCGTAAAATCCGTATTAAAAAAAGTATATTCCTCCATTCTGTACATATTTTTATATTGTACTTACAACTTTGAATCTGGTTTTGCTGTTAAGAACTTTTTGGGGGGATAAATACATTTATAAGATACATAATATACCATTTCTGCATAAACAATCTCAATTTACTTATCTGTCCTCTACTTCTGGGGATTTAAAGGTTCTTTCCCCTTACCAGCTCTTTATAAAACACCACACTCCAGCCGGGCGTGGTGGCACACGCCTGTAATCCCAGCACTCGGGAGGCTGAGGCAGGAGGATCGCTGGGAGTTCAAGACCAGCCTGGGCTACATAGTGAGTCCCAGGTCAGACTCAACTACATAGTGAGACGCTGTCTCAAAAAACCAAAAAAATCACCAAACTCCATGGTCTTATGCAACAACCTTTTCCTTGCTTAGGTTTTAACCTACTTATTTCTCAAACAGGGAATCCCTAGGTCAAAGCATGTAGATTTGTACTGCCAAACTGATTTACAAAATGTTTACAGTTGCTTCCACAAAGGCATGAAAGAAAGTTTCCTTGTACCTTCACTACCCTCTCGTAGTTCTCCTTGGAAAGAAAGAAAAGAAAGAGAAGGAAAGAGGGGAAAGGACAGAAAAGGGAGGGGAGGGGAGAAAGGTTGTCCTATTATAATTAGCTCTATCCAGAACCTTGCAAAGGGGGCGTTTCTTACAAGTTTCAAGGTTTCATTTATGAATCCTACCCTCCCCCTAGTTGTCTGTGGGGATCTCGAGAGCTCCCAGCACCAAGGACTGTCCTTCCCCTCCCGGCTGAGCTTGGGGCAGGAGAGGTCATTCAGAGGCGCTTAGGGTTTAGACACTGCGAGCGGCGGCGTGACTCGAGACCATGAGCCTCAGCCCGGACTCAAACAACAAAAACAGGCCTGAATTTCAAGTTTCGGACCACAGCTTCCTAAGCAAGCCCACGGGCTTCGGAGTCTGCCAAACCCGACTTCCTCCAGACCGCCGCGTCCCAGCCGGGCAACCGGATAGGCGTTTGCGAGCTCGGCTTCCCAGGCTGTAAAACGGGAATTCCGCGGGGATGCCGCGCTCATGGAGCGCTCAGAGATAAAGCAACTAATAAGCGGGCTCCTGGGAACGCAGCAGAGTCCTCCGCCAGCCGGCGGGCCCACGTGGCGCGTGCGAGCCAGTGGGGTGACAGCTGGGGACCCACTTGTCCCGCCCTCTCGCGTCACCTCATCTCCGCTCTCCGCCCCATCACCTGAGCCGAGCAGCGCGTCGAGGACAGCCAAGCGCCGGCAACCAGGCAGTGAAAGTGGCGGCCACATCCTCGGCTCGTCTCCTTGCTTACCCTGGACCCTCGCCCTCTTCTCGCCGCTGCCAGCAGATCCGACCCTCAGTCTCTGGGCTGCGCAGAGCGCCGTAACCGCCTCCACCGGCTTCTCGCTTACCCCAGTAAGGCCCCTATTCAAGAACAAGTTCCAGGGGGAAAGCGCCTTCCTATCATCGCTGATTGGCTTATATTCGGAGGCGGGCCCTTGACCGGCTGGAGTATTGACCAATGGATAAAGAGAAAAAGGAGACGCAGAGAGGCGGGATTGGGCGGCCCAGGGGACTGACTGCAAGCGCCCGGCCGCCGGAGCAGGCGGTCACGAGGCTGACTTCCTAGCTGATAGGTCGCCACACCTTAAACACCCCAACACTAGCGGCTTCTCTAGTTCCTTACTGTGAATACGGCTTGCTCTAGATTTCTCTGTCAACCACTCCAGACCCCTCTCCTAAATGCCAAACCCGTTGACATCCTACAGGTTCCTTAAACATAACTTGTCCTGAACTAATTTTCCCGCCAAACCTGCTCTTCCTCCTCTCCTTCCCTTGCCCAGAATGGCTTCACCATCTGACCAGAGAGATCCAAATCTAAAGATTTGGGAGAGCCTGGTGTAGTGCATGACTGTAGACCCAGCACTCTGGGAGGCTGAAGAAGGACTGCAAATTTGACTCCACCCTGGGCAGTTTAGCAATTTAATACGACCCTGTCTCAAAATTAAAAATCAAAGACCGGGCGTGGTGGTGCACGCCTGTAATCCCAGCACTCGGGAGGCTGAGGCAGGAGGATCGCTGGGAGTTCGAGACCAGCCTGGGCTACAGAGTGAGTTCCACGTCAGTCTCAACTACATAGTGAGACCCTGTCTTAAAAACAACAACAATAAAAATCAAAACGGGGCTGGGGATGTGGCTCAGTGAGAAGGCAGCACACAGGGAGAGATACAGAAGTCATCTTGATACTGCCTTCTCCTCTCTCTAGTCAGTTGTCGGATCCTGTCAACCCAGCCTCCTAAGTACTTCCTCTGCCATCTGTCTGCCTCCTACTCTGCCGCCCGATTCCTCATCCACCACCTGACCTCCCTACTATCAACTTTGGTTTGGTCCTAACCAAACTTTCCTCTACAGAGCAGTCAAGTTGACCTTTCAAAATCTAAAGTTCCTGCTCTAAAGTCTTCACTGGCTCCCAGCCAACCACTGCCTTGAACTCACGATTACATTGGCCCATCACTGATAAATACCACAGCTCATTAGCAGTTAGTAGGTCGGTAAAGGCGGAGAACTTAAACATTCCCTCCATTCCTTCTGGTTTATGGTACTCCCTGCAGAGACTGTAAAATTCCAATCGTGATTATTTTAATAGGTCTCTTCTGTGTAAGTCAATTAGAATCCTTCCTCTGAGGCACAGAAAAATGAGACAAGCAGAAAAGGCCCCTTAGATCCCTGAGGATGTGGTCTTCCGGAAGGAAGACGCACTGGCTTACCTGGGGAGCCTTGCTGCCAGCTGACCTGCACCCAAGGTCTCTTCTGCAGTAAAACTGCTCATGTTAGACCTGCCCTGATATTTATACTGTCACTCACCCTTCGCCCTTTCCGGAAGTTCTAAATCAGGATTTAAAACATCTCTCTTCCTGGATAGTGAGGGGGCTGTTTCAGACCCACATGAAAAAGAACTCTAACCAGATGTGGTGGCACAGGCTGTAATTCCAGATATTTAGAAGTCTGAGGCTGGAGTATCCTAAGTTTGAGGCCAATCTGGGCAACAATGCAAAACCCTGTCTCAAAAAACCAAAAAGAACTGGGGGTCTAGCTCAGCAGTGGAGCATTTACTTAGCATGCTTAAGGCCCTGGGTTGAATCTCCGGTATCACAATAACATAACAAGACAAAACAAATACCTCGAAATAAATAGATGTGGCTCTAAAGTTATATGCAAGGGATCCCATTTGTGATAAGCACTAAGAAATGCTGGATGCTGGGATCTGGGGAGAGCACTTACCTAATACCTACAAGGGTGTGGTTTGATCCCCAACACTGCAAAAGTTAAAAAGTAAAAGAAAAAGTAGATATGAGAGAACTGGGAAGCATACTGTTTTGTTTCTGGGTTTTTGGTTTAGTTTGGAGTTTTGGTGGGTTTCTTTGTTCATTTTTTGTTTTTGTATTAAGAGTTCATTTGAGGTTACAGGTTAACCTTCAGTTCTTCAGGACATAGCCTGCAGAGTTTAATTGCTCCATCTGCAGGCATCTGCCCAAACAATGTGACAGGCCCAGGGATGACCCCTAGTACTGCTTTCCTGAGAAAAATTACATCACTCTACTAAGTCTGAAACCACAGAGATTTTTCCAGTTACCACATACTCTCTACTTCCAAAGTAGAAATGCACCCTCAAGAATACTGTATGTGCCAGAACTTTCACTTACAAGCTGTAACCAGTCCTTTTGGTGTTGAACACTGTAATCCCAGCACTCAGGAGGCTAAGGAAGGAAGATTACAAGCTTGATCCCAGTCTGGGCTACATAATAAGTTCAAGACTAGCCTGGGCTACATAAGAGAGAGCCTATCTAAAAACAAACAAGAAAACCTCAATAAGCCACTTAGGTCTTATGAGACAAAAAAGGGGGGGGGAATATAACTCAACTGGAGTTTTTGGTGAAAATATGTAAAACTATTCAGCCGCACTCAAACAGATAATTGTGAATTAAAGTGAATTATGGATCTATGTTTTTCTTGTGATGCTGGAACTCAGGGACTCATTCATGCCAGGCAAACATTCTACCACCGAGCCACATCCCCAGCCCTGAGCTACTGATGTTTGTCCATGAATCTAGTGAAGATTAAAACAAGATTAGATGTGTAATGTTGATGGGTGGGCATTCCATCTCAGTGGGTATAAATGTAAATTAAGGCATACCTCTAACTGACTAATACCATAACTTTCAATTTATCCTAAAGGGGGAAAAGTAAACATTACACGTTTTCTTCAACAAACACATTCTTCCACATTGTACAACTTGTCAAATCAGAAAGGAAAAAAAAAAATCTTGCATTTTAAAAAGAGCTAGAAGAGTGACTAGAGTAGGGAGAGGGATCTTTTGAATGATTCTGGCAAAGTTCCCTTATTCTTTAGCTATGCAAACAAGATGTTATGGTTTATATTTAGATGTCTCCCCCTCCCCCAAAATCTTTGGGAGCTCACAGGTGAGGCTTTTGGGAGGTTATTGGATCATGGAGACCAGATACTCACCAATGGACTAATCTACTGATGAGTTTATAGCTAAATTTAATGTTGGAAGGTGAACCCTGGTACAAAGAGGTGTGCCACTGGGGACATGGCCTGAAGGTTATATGAGTATCTCACTTCCTCTTCCTTGATCGCTCTACTCCCTAACTTGCTATGAGCTGTTTCTCTTTTGCCATGTCCCTCAGCCATCCTATCCTGCCTTGGAACCACCAGACTTTGGACTCAAACCTCTACAAACTGTGAGCCAAAATAAACCTCTCTTCCTTTAATTTGCAGTTGATGAGCTACTGTAACCTAGTGATGAGAAAAGTAACTAAGACACAAAATGGAATATTAGGAAAGCCAGATTTGAGGGTGATCTTGTGTCAGGAAGACCGGAGATGATGGTAGCCAGTCTCTTTATATTGAAACTGCAATCTCCAGCCTGGTAACTAGGAGATTTTGTAAAAACTTTGGGTGTCAGGCTGAGGATTTAGCTCGGTGGCACTGCTCCTGCCTCCCAAGTACAAGGTCCTAAGTTCGATCCCTGGTACAAAAACAAAACTAAACAAACAACACTTTAGGTGTCTTTGTGCCTTACCAATAAGCAGAAGAATTTGTCTTTGCAGTGGTTTTGTGGTGTCCCAACTACCCAGAGCATCTGAATAAACCCAGAGTCTTGCTGGTTGCATATATCTATGCCCTCTGCAGATACCTCTACCCAGATAAAGTGGTTTGACTTCACTGTGTAGCCACCCAGGTGATTTTTCCTAGCACTAGCCTCTCTTGAATTGACACATACACAGGTATACACACACACATCCCACCAAGCGCCTTTCCTTCAGAAGGAGTGATTGCCAATCCCTGCCCTTGTGCTAGTCACAAAATGTTCAGGAATTTTGAAAAAATACAAGTCCTGCCTCAGTCCCTGTGATAGTGTGGGTCTAACATGTCCTCCAAGCCAGTTGTAGTGGCACACGCCTGTCATCCTAGCACTCCAAGGGCAAGCAGGAGGATTGCCACAAATTTGAGGCCAGCCTGGACGCATAGCGACCTCGAGGGCAGTCTGAATTACATAGTGAGATCCTGTTTCTAAATAAATAAATAAAGTCCACCAAAGGTTTTGTGGTGGGGCTTGGTTGCCAGCTTTCAGAAGGTGATTAGATGAGAAGGGTTCTACCTTTCTCAGTGGATTAATCTATTGGTGGTTTAATAATTTGATAGGTGGTGAAAGAAACTCAGGAGGGGAGGCCTATGTGAAGGGAGTGGGCCATGCCCTGCCTCTTGGGCTTTCTCTCTCTGCTTCTTTCTGGAGAGGGAATCCAACCCAGGGACTCTATTGCTGGGCTATCTCCAGCTTTTCTCTCTCGCTCTCCTCTTTTTTT